CATTTAAGTAATAAGGCTAAAAGGAGGCCTTAATTCTGTTTCTCCACAATGATGGTAGCCAGTGCCAAACAAGCATATAACTTAGAACAGGTTCGACTGTGCATGACAAAAGGATGTCATTCCATGAGTGAAACACAGTCTAAACCTGTGATAGGATATCAACTGCTGTAAGTGGGTTAACCATTTGCTTTACATCACACAGCAAATTAGCCTTACAAATAGATTAAATAGATTATAAAACCTGAACCCCCAGTTGTTATCACACTGACTTCAGAGTAACTGGAAACAGATAAGAGAATTTTCTTACCTTCTTTCCAAGTATCTCTCCCTTGTGTTCGAGCTGGCTTATCTCTTCACGATCTTTGGTTATTTGGGTTTGAAGATTTCGGATCCTTGCCATCTTGGCTTTGAGTTTGCTGGCTTTGTCCTGGAGATAAGATCACAACTTTAGAAAAGGTATATCAATAAAGAGCATGCAAGCCTTATTTCATCATCCTGCATGAAACTAGATCTTAGGAGCAATAGTGATTGGCTAAAGATCCAGGATAATCTACTTCCAGCACCTCTTTTGCCACCTATCTGCCTTTTAGCCTATTCCATGACCTTTCAACAAATACCTGGTAATGTTAAAGATGTAAATGAATTCACTATAAAAAATATGCAATCTTACTTACCAGACAAATTATGGTTATGCTGTATTCTGTGTTGCTAATATGTATAGAATGGCTAGAGGAAATTAAGACTTTGGGAACTAATGGTTTGATATGATGAATCAGTTTAACTTAAGATACCATTTCAAGAAACGCTTTGCTTGTCCTCCAATTAAAACAATTCTTATTCCACTTAATCCAGAAAGATCTTTTTGCAAGCCTTGCCTCAAGCTGTGTCTCCATTTGGCCCAGCTTTTCCCGTAACTTGGTGATAGTCGACTTTAAAGACTGCCGTTGTCGCTCTTCTTCTGTTGCCTCATGAACTAGGGAAGCCAGCTGTGATATCACTTCATTCATAGCAATCCTGTATGATGGATGTTATGAAAAATGTCAAACAGCTAAATAGTACTGTTATCACTACAAAAAACATCTTCAATCTCTTATCAAATAATCAAAACTGAGGTACATAACCACACAAGTGAGAATGTTCGCTTTCAAAATAACAGTCAAAATCAAATTCAATTATAAGCCTATGTTTTTCCTCTACTCAGCAGTCAAAGTCATATATAAAGCAAGGACAAAAATGAAAGAAAGAAAAAAGGAATCTTCTGTTTTGCATTACTAATATATGACTATAATTATATTTCTGAAACTTTTGTCAACGTCAAAACACTATTACTACGCAAAATTACCTTTTTTGTGTGTATTCATGTTCCACTCTCTTCAGCAACAGTAACCTCTTAGTCCTTACTGGTTTTCTTGTCACATTATCTGCATCAGTTACACTACTTGATTTGGAAGGGTTTCCAACTGCATTACTTTTTTGTTTTTGTAAAGCTGCTGGCAGAGAGTTTAGGGTTCTAATGGCACTTTTTTGTCTTACCGAATTATTTACAGATGTGCTACATACAGAAGACCCTTTTAAGGTTTTTGTACTTTCAGATACCAATAAAACATCTTTTTCTAACTGCTCGTTCTTTTCTATTTTTTCAGACAAATATTCAAGACTTTTCTTCCCCTCCACATCCTCGTGTATCTGTGCTTGCTTTTGTATAGTTTGGATATTTGAGTTGTTCTCACTGGTTATACTATTAAGAGTTTTTATTTCTGTACCTGAATTGACCTCTGCATTCTCTTTCCTTTCAGCAGATTCACTGTCTTGCTTATCACTGACACATGATATTCCAATAGGACTTGCCAGCTCCTCTTTGCCAGCTGATAAACTGTTGTTATCCTCCTCTTGTGATTTGTCTGCAATCACAACTTCAGTTCGTTTTTCAGTATTTTCACTACTGGAATGTTCTTGAGTTGTAAAAGTTAAGACACTATCTACAGGTTCATCTACAGATTTAGCAGATTTCTTTGACACTTCAATTGGCACTTGCTGAGTATCTTTACCTTTGTACCTTTCATCACCTTTACTGTTTCCTAATGCTTCTTTATCATCACCTTTACTGTTTCCTAATGCTTCTTTATCATCACCTTTACTGTTCCCTAATGCTTCTTTATCACTACCACCAGCTCCCTCCATTTCACTTTTTCCACTGTCCATCTTCTCACCATTATGACTTTGCTTAATCTCATTATCTAATGAGACTTCTATTTCCTCATTCAAATTTCTGTCAGCCAAACCTTGAGCATGATCAGCAGGAGTTTGATTTTCTACTTCAGTATTTTCAGACTCCATTAACTGACTGAAATTGTTACATTCACTGTTATCTTTTGCCTCCTGAACTAAACATTCAGTTTCACTTGTTTTTGAGACACTTTCACTTACTGGACCTTCTGTCTCCTTACATTCTAAAGTAGGCCCAGTATCTTCCTCATTAATTACCAGTTTCTTTACTTTGTTGCCATGTTCCTCCTTAACCACTGCCAACTCTTCACTGTTGGCATTTTCTCCATTACCTTCATCAATTTCTTCCAACACCTCATCAAGAACCATCCACTCCCCACCATTTACATCTCCTTCCTGATGTACATCTTTACTATTTTCCAGCAAATCAGTCTGATTTCCAATAACAACACTGCGAGAAGCCACTTCTACTGCCTTTTCCATTGTTTCCTTCTCATCAGTTGGCACGTCATCTATCCTTTGGCATATAACAACCTTCAGTATTTCTGAATTTGATGACATATATGACTCATCATTCTTTTCACTTTTACTATCAGCACCTACACTATCACAATTTTCCTCATCATTTGATTTTGCTTTGTCAATTACTTTTTTCTGGAGTGTCTTAAGTACCATCAACCTAAGCATCTCTTCATCTTCATCCTCAGCTGGGGAACCTACACATGATAAATCTCTCTCTTTCCTCATCTCCACATTTTTCACAGTGCCAGACCCACCTTGGCAACTTTCATCTGCACTTACTGTATTGCTTCCTAAATCATTATCTCTATTGACATTTGCAAGCTGTATCTGCAAACCACCTGTTTCCTTTAAAATCACTTCCCTTGTGTCTTGCAAAACAGAATGTGGCAGTGGTGGGGTTTCCCCCTGAATCTGAAGGTTACCTCCATTATCACCTTGGTCACAGTATTCCTCTTCTGTCCTTGAGGGGGTCTGACTTTTAGCCTGTGGAATGTTTACTGATGGTAGGTCTCGAGCAGCCCCTCCATCACTCATTTCTCCTCCATTGTCCCCTGACTGAGGGCTCTCAGGAGAAATTCTTGCAGCAGAAGCCATTTTCTTCTGGAGTACTTTCTGCCGTAGAAGCAGTTCCTGTCGCTTCTTCTGAAGCATTTCCTTTTCTCTGAGTTGCTCCTTTAGCCTACGGTATTCAACCTGCTGTGTTCGACTAAGATGACGCACCACCTGTGGGTTTTAATAAAGCATTTAAATTGTTTATTTGTGCATATCAATTATCTAAAAAAGATTACCATCATGTTAAAAAGATATACTTTTATGAAACAAGGGTAAGATTATGTGATACAGTAATTATATTACTATGCACTAATTCACTATCTTTTCCTATTTATCAACATTTAAAAAAAATATATGGCTTTCTCTACAACTCAGAATTACTACAGTCAACCCATCAGAGAAGTATATATGTATAGGTTTAATATCATTATCAGAAGAAAAACACACTAAACAAATAAATACTTACATTTGGAGTGCTGTACGCCTGAGGAGCTTTTCGTACTGGGGTTTTCTTTGTGAGGGCTGATCCTTTTTTATCTTGTGTGCTTGGTTTGGCGTCCTTCTCGGGCTTGTTGGCATTCCTCATACTTTTAAGCAAAAGATCTATGCTTGAGCTTAAGACTCCATCACCTTCACCACTGCCTGAAGGTTGTGGCTCATCAGTGGCTCTATCCTGGCAGCTCTCCTCACCATCTTCATTCTCATCATCGGAATCAGATTCCAAATTGATAATAACAGGCTTGATATTAGGAAATTTAAACTTGGGCATGTCTTTCTGGCTGTGATTGTCTTTTGGAATGGGGTAATCATATCTACTGCTCTTTGGATCTAAGCTAATGCCACCTATGTCAGACAAGCCATGTCTCAAGTTGACCTTCACTTTATGGGTTGGGCTATTCTCTCTAAACCTCGCCTGTTGATGCATCTTCAGAATAGCTGTCTTGGTCACTGGTCTCAACCTCGGACAAGACTCCAGTGATGAGGGGTAGCTCTGAGGTGGTGTGCTTTCATGGCCTGTGTAGCTTGAAGAATGAGAATCGAACCTATCCTGATGGGCGGCTTGGATGTTATCTGCAGTCACTGTTTGATAATCAGAAAGACATGATTTTGGAAGTTCTACCACAGGTTCTATCTGCTTTTGGTTCTTCTTTCGAGAAAGGTCAATTAAAAGCTGTGCCCTTAGGAGGTCTTCATCTTCATCTTCTGAAACACTTGGCACTGAATCAACTCCCGGTTGGAGATCACTCTGAACAACGGATTCCTTCCCCTTTGCCAATTTTTCTTGTGCCTTCAACTGTTTGAGCTGCTTTATTTTTTCTTTCTGTCTTTCTCGTTTTCTCCTTCTAGCCCTCGATCTTTTGTTCACCTGCAGCACAGCTCCACCACTGGTACCAGCACCCGAAGAAGCCTTTTTCACAGCCTCAGCCTGGACATTGGATGAACTGCCATATTTGATTAATTGCACTTCAATTAAGTTTCTTTGTGTGCCACTGTTCTTCTGCCGAGTCTTCTGCTGGTTAAGTACTGCAGACATGAAGGCTTGGTAATGTTCTGCTGGAAGATCTTTTAAATCTTCCTGTGGGCTGTTGTCTGGCTTTGGTTCTTCTTTTTCAGGTGTGAGTGTTTTACTAGCTGCATGCTCAGGAGAAGCTGGTGTTTCAGTATTCTCTTGGATGTTTTCTGTCTGTTCAGATATGTTTTCATAATTCTCTGGCTTTGATTCGTTCCACTGTGTAGGTTGCTGCGGCTGTAGTCCCCAGTCAGAAGTGGGAGTTCCATATGAATTGTACTGCTGAAACTGCTCATTTGAATCATAGGAAGACTGCATGGTCTGGAGATACATGTTCTGATCATAGCACCAATTATTGATGTTACTAATATCATTGGGTGGCTGGTCAGGTGGGGGAGGAGGCGGCATCATATAGGCCCACTCCACTGGGATTTGGAAATTACTATTACTGTTATTATTGCTACTACTTTTGTTGCTGTTGCTACTGTTATGATGAAAACTTTCCTGTCCTCCTGGATCTAGGGCAGGCACTGGATAATCCTTTGCTTGTGACCCTACGTTGGGAGCAGATGATGGGTCAGGCGAAGACACCTTATCCAAAGAGATGTCTTCTCCTATATCCTTCAAGATGTCTTCATCAAAGAAACTTTCATCTTCCTCACTTGGAGAACTATCACATATATCCATATCAACAGGATCCTGATTAGAGTCAGCAAGATCCTTAATTTCTCTTTGCAGCTGTTCTCCAATATTTGTGGCAAGCTGTCTTGTACTGTCTTCACCGTCATCCAGGTAACTTTTATTCGTTGATATGGCATCCAATTCCAGCTCTAGTCCAGTGATGCTTGAACCTGGCTGAGATCTCGTTGAGCTCTGACTTAAATCATCCAATATAAGGTCCACCTCATCCTCCTTTGGAGTGCTTTCTTCTAATTTCGTATCAAAACTCTGATTGCTTTTCAAGGGTGTTGAGCTTTCTGGATCGGATTGCAAGAGTATGTGATGATCTGGTAACTGATCCTGAAATTCGCCAACATTTTCACTATTTCTCTGATCAGGAAGATCACTATGAACTGCTTCTTTCCCTTCCTCTTCCTTTTCCAATGGCTGCTCTATGCTGTCTTGAGGCAAAGACAATGAAAGGTCAACAACCATATTCCCAGTGTTCATGGACTGGCAACCTTCTCTCCTTACATCACTCAGCACCTTCAAAGAGGACTGAAGGGCAATTAATCTTAGCTGAAGTTCATCTTCATCTTCTTGGTCTAACGTATCACAGTCCTGCTGCAACACTTCGCTTATTTCAGATATTTCTTCTTTCTTGCTACCTCCAGCCTCTCCTGAAGTTTCTCCTTTCTCTACAGTTTTGTTAGCTAGAGGGCAAACCTTTAGTTTGCCTTTCAGTGTCTTTTTTAAGAGCATTTCTCCAAAACTACCCCTTGGGAGCTGTTTCTGGCTTGATATAAGGGGAACATCTCCTCCATTTCCTTTGGGTGAAGTATCACATTTTGCTCTTGGTGATTTGTCACATTTCTCTTCAGATTCATCATCACTGATTTTTACAACATTCTCCTTTGCTTTACTTTTGTTGGTTTTGTGGTGGCTTGCTTTTACTTCATTTTTTCTACTAGATGAAGTAGGGAGAGTATGACGCATGTAGGGGCGAGGTGATTTCCTGCCATTTCCCCAGGACTTTGAGATTTTACTAGCAGCTTCAACAGGGGAGGATGCTCTTGTGCTCTCTTTTTCCTGGGTGACTGGTGGTGCCCAGGGAGGCGACTTCTTGGATGGCCACTTTTCTGAAGATTTTTTATAAGCCAATTTTTTCTTGGTGGAACTGAAACCTTGCTCAGAAGGTGATCTTGAACGTGCTCTGCTTGCTGTTCCGGATCGTTTATTCTCTTTTCCTAAAAGTGAAGGGGGAAAAAAGATAAATCAAATTTCTTTGCTTTCTCCTTTTGTTTAATATGCAATGATATTCTTTTGTTCTAAGAAAAAGATCCACACATCAAAGCATTCCTGATATATGTAAGATGTATCAGAGATGCTATTAGTGAAATACCTGGAGACACAAAAGAGAAAGTTGTCAAGTATCATAATGCTATGTTATGCAGATATATATGGTCATAGAGTCATTTGAAATCTAAGAAAATAATATTTCATTAAGAGTAAAGGAAATTAGACAAATGCCAAGGTTTCCAATATTTTTGCATTAACTAACTTGCAGGCAGACAGTAGCAAATAATACGACTGTCATGACATATCTTTATGAAATACTGTCAACTGTTACATCACTGATATTACAGCAACAGAATTATGAACTAGCACCTGATTAGCCTGAAACTTCCATAGGTTGCAGGTACAGGCTTTCTTAGTTTGGTGCAACTCATAGCCTATTCTACTAGTATTTACGCTTACTTCTGGCTTCCAAGCATAACATAAGTGTGTGATATTTATACTGTAAATTATGCCAGAAATCTAATTTGCTATGTAAGTGACTGCACCAGATGACAGATGTTCTGAGCTGTATATCAAAAATTCCCCCAAGCCTAAATCCAGTATACCTCAAGTAGCAATATCATTCATCTTTTGCATGATACTCTGCCATCCCCTCTGAACGTCCTCTCCACTACCTGTCTCCCCGGCTTCCCATCCCCGCTGGCACCCACCACCCTGAAAGTGTGGCCTTCTACGGTGCAGATTTTTTTCTTCTGAACTAACCAGTGGGCTATGTATCTCTAGTATTTTAGCTTTAAAAATCCCAGACAATTGATTCTTTGCTTTAAGAGATACAGAGCTGCATAATTATAGGGCTAGAGGAGTTTTACTGAATTATAATCATATAATAGAACACTTTCATGGAACCTGAGTCACCCTAAATTGGCAGAGTGCCTACATCACATATTTCAAAGAACTAAGCATATCTACGGCAAAAGATCTATGTATCCAATATCTAGCCACAGCATCCCAACAGGAAATTAAATTCCAGCCCTATTATACAAGAGCTATAACATACATCATTGCAAAACCTGCATCCAGGAAAACAAACTCATGAATTAAGACTGTAATCATCAAAGCCATTAGTATCATCTCTTTAAAAAAAATCACATATGTTTTACTTATTTATTCTTTTAATGATTTTCAATTCCAAGAACATGAGGTGACTTGCTTTTACTTCTGGGTTTCTTCTAGATTAGGTACTATAAACATGAACTTTAGTTGCATAATAAATTTTGTTAGCTATATCTTTCATGTTATTTAAAAAAGGCCCTCCTACTGGATAAAATCATAATTCCACAATGGTAAATAAACAGAACTAAACTAAAGTAATATAATCTGCTTTGTCTCTAACTTCCTGCTTCATTCCAATCTAATTTGTAAAATTCTCTTCCCAAGTTATGGGCATGAAGCTTATAATAATTCCTTTGTTACTCTCATTTTTACATAGTGAAGCCAAGTTTCTGACAGTGGTATTATGTCATCAAAATAATTTTACTAGTCATGCAAAAATGCAATCTGTGAAACTTCCATCAAATACATAATCCCTTTAACACAAGGGAATAGCTAAACAATGATCACTTCTAAACATACCTAATTTGCTTCTTTATAACCCAAAGGGATCTATAAAGACCTTGGGCAATCTAACCTATGGTAAAAAAGGAGGGGGAGGGGGAGGGGGGGAAGAGGAAGAGAAGGAAGAGGAGGAGGAGGAGGAGGAGGAGGAGGAGGAGGAGGAGGAGGAGGAGGAGGAAGAAGAGGAGGAGGAGGAAAATAGATAAACAAAAAGACAAGGAAAGATGATGGAAGAAAAAGAAAGATGATGCTTCTGAAACGGAAGATAATAATAAGAAAGGAGGAGGATGGAGATAATGATTATGTAGAAGAGGAAGATGAAAAAGAAAGAAGAAAGGAGGGCAAAGAAAAAGAAAGAAGAAAAGAGGAGAAAGAATAATAGTAATAGTAATAATAATAATAATAATATAAAAAAGAAGAAGAAAGAAGAAATACCAATAATAATAACAATAATAATAATATCAATAATAGTAATAAGAATAATAACAATAGTAGTAGTAGTAATAATAATAATAATAATAATAATAATAATAATAATAATCATCATCATCATAAAGTAAAATGAAGTAGAAAGAAAAAGACAAAGAGGAAAGAAGATAACCTAAGAAGAAGATGAAGATAAAAAAGAAAAAGTAGTAGAAAGACAAGACAAAGAAAAGAAGAAGGAGAAGAGGAGGAGGAAGACAAAAACGAAAAGGAGGAAGGGGATGAAGAAGATGAAGCAGCAGCAGCCTGGCCATAGGCTGATCAACAGTCCTGGCACAGTACAGCATATTTACTCAACTATCAACCTATGTTTACTCACTGAACCCTCACTATTCTTGTTCACCTATTCAACCTTCAGACTATAAACCCTCTCAATTCTTCATTAGTAACATCCATAGAGATACCTAGCTTCATAAACATCAACTTCATTCATTCATAATTATAATGCCCTATCGCTTCTACTCCATCATCTTCAATAACCTATCTCTTTTTCTCCCCCCCCCCCTATTCAATACCTGGCATTTCTATTCCCCTGAATTTTTAAATCCCAGCCTCTCTTCGTCACTGACCTCTCCCTCGCCTCTGCACAGGGGAGTCACTACCACTGTGGCTGGATGAGGAGTACGAGGAGCAGCTGCAATACGAGGAGTCACTGTCAGAGCTGCTGGTGTGGCTCCTGTGCGCCACCAAATGTCTGGGTTGGTCAAGAGACCGTTTATTCTTGGCTCCTGGAACCTTGTCACTTTCCCATCCCGCCGAGGACCCGAGTCGCCTTAATCCCTGTCGTATGTATTTAGTCCTCTTGGTCGAAGCTCCAGAAGCCCCACCTTCATTGTCTAATATTTGCCACTTCCTACCCATACCATTATCTTTCTGGTGCTTTCTTGCTTCATCATCCTTATGCCTTCGCTTTTCCATTTCTTCCTGCTTCCATCTTCTTCCTGAGTCTGCCCTTCTCTTATATGAGCCTGAATCTCGTAAATTTTTTCTGGGACTGGTGAAAATGGCTGTGCGTCCACGGTCATCATAAATGACAACTGCAGAAGTTGCTGAAGCATTTTTTCCTGGTTGTCTTTCCTTGTGGTAATCTGAAAAGAGGTCATCAAAACTTAATACATGTATATCCTTAAA